GATACGGGAACATTTCTAAGATAAAAGAGATACAGAGATCTAAGATACAGGAACCCTTCTAGGATAAAGGAGATACAGATATCTAAGATACGGGAACCCTTCTAAGATACAGGAATCCTTGTAGGACAAAGATCTAAGATACGAGAACCCTTCTAGGATACAGGATATTCAGATATCTAAATACAGGAACCTTTCTAGGATGCAGCAGATAAAGCATACTGACGTTTATTATTACAGCTGATACTTCATTTATATTTATATTTCATCTCAGAGGATTTCTAAGTTATCTTCAAAAATGGATTCAAATTATAGGTTTTACACCCTTCTTGCATACAGTAACCCTTCTAGGATAAAGGATTCCTTCCAGTATACAGGAATCCTTACAGGGTGTAGTTCCAAGGAACCCTTCTAGGATACAGGGGGCCCTTCCAGTATACAGGAACCTTTCTAGGATACAAGTAAGAACCCTTCTAGGATACAGGAACCCTTCTAAAATACAACAACCCTTTTAGGATACAGGAACTATTTTAGGATAAAGGAACCCTGTAGTAAATGCCGTACTCTTAAAAATGCTTCCAGAACTGTATCAATCCAGGTGCAACTTGTCAGTTATCAATGGCAACAGGGACATAAGCTATTAATCGATCAATGCCAAACTATTGGACACAATCTTATCAGCTCTTAATGTCAACAATGACACTAGCTCAACTTTCAAACAAGCTCTTAAGCGCTCAACGCCAAATCAACGGGCACGATCTTATCAGCTCTTAATGTCAACAGGGACACAAGCTCAACTCGTATGATTCAATGAGGACCAAATTACTTCTAGATCGCCGTAATCAAAGCATGTTACATGTGAAGTTAATATACATATTTACAATATCTGCGCAGATGTATATCATCGTAGTTAAGCTAATCACAATAAGTAGCTATTCTGGTCGCATTACAAGTTTTGTGTATTTGAGGATTGGTGCAATTAGATTTACAGACAATGTAAAACGCAATTTATCTAGGCATGTTCAAACTGTACAACTGTTACAACCCTACATTCTAGGATACAGGAGAATTATTTAAGTTTAAAAGAATTACTTCACGTTATTTTTGGGGTTGTGAACCCTTTAAGTTTCAGGGGGTGGGCCTAGTTTATACAAAACTCTTAACTCATTGTAATAAACGAATTACAAATAAGGAATCCGTTTCAAAGTTGAACAAAAACTGGGCATCAGTAACGTACAGTAAATTTAAATTTAGTAAGAGTAACATTTGTTTATTTTTAAATACATCTATTTATCTGGCTGTCTAGTGTCTATATACTTATCATACTCTTTGCTTCATGGTCTATCTCTTTATCTTTATATTTATCTGTCTATCTGTCTATTTATCTATCTATATGTATCAGTCTATTTGCCTTTTTATTGTCTGTCTATCTGTCTATCTATCTGTCTATATGTCTATCTATCTATCTGTCTATCTGTCTATATATCTGTCTTTCTGTCTATCTGTCTATCTATCTGTCTATCTGAGTATCTCAATCCTATTTCTGTTTTCCCATTAATTCCTCCACTGGTGATAAATCTTGTAAAGTTACAGTGTAGCACCTTTACTCCTCCCCCCTTCCACCTTCTCCCCCTATTCCTCCCCCCTTCCACCTTCTCCCCCTATTC